CCGGTCGGACCGCACAGCAACCTAAGAGCTACTGTACGAAACTACCGTGCTCAAAGGCACAAGCTCGGTACTTGAGCCAAAACATTGGCATTGTTACGAATTGCAAAACTACACATGCAAAGGAAAACAACACGCTGCACTAGCACTAAGCAAGCACTCCATGCATGCTTTGACCTGCTCACAATAAGTTCTTCTTGGCAGTAAGCAAATAGCCCCCATCTGTCACTATCTGCAGGTTCTGTAATGAATTTTGAAGGCCACAGTGTCCTGAGAAGGCCAGGCGTACATGTCTGTGTAGCGCCGATCCTGGAGTTAGAATACTCCCCAGAAAGTGTATAATACCATCGTATTGATAGATGTGCACAGACATAGGTATAAGTATATGTATAATACCACGGTCCGGAGCTTTCACCGAACCCGGAAGTCTACGCACGCCACGGTCCAGCATACAGCGGACCCGGTACACAAAGGATACACGTATGTATATGTGTATAAACCACGGTCCGGAGCTTTCGCCGAACCCGGCAGGGCTTGCACACCACGGTCCAGCATATATACCGGACCCGGAACTGCACATACATATAATGAATGGTGGACAAGCGATACGCGTAGGTATATGTGTATAAACCACGGTCCGGAGCTGTCGCTGAACCCGGAAGTGCATGCATACCACGGTCCAGCACATACCGGACCCGGAACTGCACACACATATAACGGTAGACAAGGGATATGGGTATGTATATGTGTATAAACCACGGTCCGGAGTTTTCGCCGAACCTGGAAGGGCATGCGCACCACGGTCCAGCACATACCGGACCCGGAACTGCACATACATATAACGGTTCTCAGCATAAGTTCTTCTTGGCAGTAAGCAAATAGCCCCCATCTGTCACTATCTGCAGGTTCTGTAATGAATTTTGAAGGCCACAGTGTCCTGAGAAGGCCAGGCGTACATGTCTGTGTAGCGCCGATCCTGGAGTTAGAATACTCCCCAGAAAGTGTATAATACCATCGTATTGATAGATGTGCACAGACATAGGTATAAGTATATGTATAATACCACGGTCCGGAGCTTTCACCGAACCCGGAAGTCTACGCACGCCACGGTCCAGCATACAGCGGACCCGGTACACAAAGGATACACGTATGTATATGTGTATAAACCACGGTCCGGAGCTTTCGCCGAACCCGGCAGGGCTTGCACACCACGGTCCAGCATATATACCGGACCCGGAACTGCACATACATATAATGAATGGTGGACAAGCGATACGCGTATGTATATGTGTATAAACCACGGTCCGAAGCTTTCGCCGAACCCGGAAGGGCATGCACACCACGGTCCAGAACACACCGGACCCGGAACTGCACACACATATAACGGTAGACAAGGGATATGGGTATGTATATGTGTGTAAACCACGGTCCGGACCTTTCGCCGAACCCGGAAAAGCATGCACACCACGGTCCAGCACATACCGGACCCGGAACTGCACATACATAGAATGGTAGACAAGGGATATGGGTATGTATATGTGTATAAACCACGGTCCGGAGCTTTCGCCGAACCCGGACAGGCATGCAAACCACGGTCCAGCACATACCGGACCCGGAACTGCACATACAAATAACTTTAACGGTTTTGAGCATAACGGCTCGCCTGAAAGCGGCGGGGGCACGAAAAAAAAATTGCGAGAGTTTAACCTGGGCGGAGACCCAATTTTACACCGAAAAGATTGCGTCCCAGGAGGGCGGCCGGCTCGCCTAAGGGCGGCCGGCTCGCCTAAGAGCGGCCGGCTCGCCTGAGGGCGGCCGGTGCGCCTAGCGCGCCTAGGGCGGCCGGCTCGCCTGAGGGCGGCCGGTGCGCCTAGCGCGCCTAAGGGCGGCCGGCTCGCCTGAGGGCGGCCGGTGCGCCTAGCGCGCCTAAGGGCGGCCGGCTCGCCTGAGGGCGGCCGGCGCGCCTAGCACGCCTAAGGGCGGCCAGCTCGCCTCAGGGCGGCTGGCTCACCTTTTCTGGTGAGTGTGGTTCGTGGCCGCCTTTCAATTAACAAATGAATACTATTCGCAATTTAAACACTTTTTAACTGTTTAAACTGTTGAAACTGCGCCTTCCTTTTGCAGTTTAAACACTTTAAACACTTTAAATATTTAAAAAGTTTAAACTGTTTAAACTGCGCCTTCTATTCGCAGTTTAAACAGTTTAAACACTTTAAATATTTAAAAAGTTTAAACTGTTTAAACTGCGCCTTCTATTGGCAGTTTAAACAGTTTAAACACTTTAAATATTTAAAAAGATTAAAAAGTTTAAACTGTTTAAAGTGTTTAAACTGCAAATCGTCCAGAAAAAGCACTACAGAATTCAAAAAAATGGAAAGCTTAAAACTCGGCTTTTTGAAACGATTTGCAGTTTAAACAGTTTAAACAGTTTAAACACTTTAAACACTTTAAATATTTAAAAAGTTTAAACTGTTTAAACTGCGCCTTCTATTCGCAGTTTAAACACTTTAAACACTTTAAATATTTAAAAAGTTTAAACTGTTTAAACTGCGCCTTCTATTCGCAGTTTAAACACTTTAAACACTTTTAATATTTAAAAAGTTTAAACTGTTTAAACTGCGCCTTCTATTCGCAGTTTAAACACTTTAAACACTTTAAATATTTAAAAAGTTTAAACTGTTTAAACTGCGCCTTCTATTCGCAGTTTAAACACTTTAAACACTTTTAATATTTAAAAAGTTTAAACTGTTTAAACTGCGCCTTCTATTCGCAGTTTAAACAGTTTAAACACTTTAAATATTTAAAAAGATTAAAAAGTTTAAACTGTTTAAAGTGTTTAAACTGCAAATCGTCCAGAAAAAGCACTACAGAATTGAAAAGATGTAAAGCTTAAAACTCGGCTTTTTGAAACGATTTGCAGTTTAAACAGTTTAAACAGTTTAAACACTTTAAACACTTTAAATATTTTAAAAGTTTAAACTGTTTAAACTGCGCCTTCTATTCGCAGTTTAAACAGTTTAAACACTTTAAATATTTAAGAAGTTTAAACTGTTTAAACTGCGCCTTCTATTGGCAGTTTAAACAGTTTAAACACTTTAAATATTTAAAAAGATTAAAAAGTTTAAACTGTTTAAAGTGTTTAAACTGCAAATCGTCCAGAAAAAGCACTACAGAATTGAAAAGATGTAAAGCTTAAAACTCGGCTTTTTGAAACGATTTGCAGTTTAAACAGTTTAAACAGTTTAAACACTTTAAACACTTTAAATATTTAAAAAGTTTAAACTGTTTAAACTGCGCCTTCTATTCGCAGTTTAAACACTTGAAACACTTTAAATATTTAAAAAGTTTAAACTGTTTAAACTGCGCCTTCTATTCGCAGTTTAAACAGTTTAAACACTTTAAATATTTAAAAAGATTAAAAAGTTTAAACTGTTTAAAGTGTTTAAACTGCAAATCGTCCAGAAAAAGCACTACAGAATTGAAAAGATGTAAAGCTTGAAACTCGGCTTTTTGAAACGATTTGCAGTTTAAACAGTTTAAACAGTTTAAACACTTTAAACACTTTAAATATTTTAAAAGTTTAAACTGTTTAAACTGCGCCTTCTATTCGCAGTTTAAACACTTTAAACACTTTAAATATTTAAAAAGTTTAAACTGTTTAAACTGCGCCTTCTATTCGCAGTTTAAACAGTTTAAACACTTTAAATATTTAAAAAGATTAAAAAGTTTAAACTGTTTAAAGTGTTTAAACTGCAAATCGTCCAGAAAAAGCACTACAGAATTGAAAAAATGTAAAGCTTAAAACTCGGCTTTTTGAAACGATTTGCAGTTTAAACAGTTTAAACAGTTTAAACACTTTAAACACTTTAAATATTTAAAAAGTTTAAACTGTTTAAACTGCGCCTTCTATTCGCAGTTTAAACAGTTTAAACACTTTAAATATTAAAAATATTTAAACTGTTTAAACTGCGCCTTCCTTTTGCAGTTTAAACAGTTGAAACACTTTAAATATTTAAACTATTCAAACTGTTTAAACTGCGCCTTCAAGGCCCGCACTTTAATCAGTTTTATCTTTTTAAATAGCACAGGGCACCCGTCAAATAGAGCATAAAGGTCTACCTTACATATATATATATATATATATATATATAGAATATTGAGAGAGAAAGAGAGCTGACCTCCCACCCCTGTTCCCCACCCCACGGGCGCATGCGCGCAGCTTGCCGGCCTTCCCTGGCAAGGCCTTTGGCCGCAGAGCGGCTGAAGACAACCCTCTGCGCCGCCATGCGGATCGCAGGGATCCTACTTGAAGGCTCTGGGAACCTGTAGGCAAGGGGCGAAACTTTCGAACTCAGTTGGGGTAAGCTCATAATGACCATCTTACACCAAGTTCCGCGAGCCTTCAAGTAGAAGCCCTGCCCTGAATGCAAACACTTCATGTCAGGACCTCTTCAGGGATTAGGCGCCGAGTCGTTGTTGAATCAGGGGCTCATCTCAGCACAAGGCGGAAGATATTTCAAGTGTGGCGGAACCCATTCTGTTGACATTGTCTTGTAAACGTACTACAACACAGGCCCGGGTTCTCTACCTTGGCCATCCGATTCGGTGGCATCTTCGTCCACCCCCTCCGCTGAAACACACCTAGATCTAGGGTTTAGGGTTTAGGGTTTAAGGTTTAGGGTGTAGGGTTTAGGGTTTAGGGCTTAGGGTTTAGGGCTTAGGGTTTAGGGTTGAGGGTTGAGGGTTTAGGGTTTAGGGTTCTAGGGCTTAGGGCATAGGGTCTCGGCTTCTTGGGCTTCAGGACTTGCGGCTTCAGGGCTTTCGGGGGTTTGGAGCTTCGGAAAACAGGGAACCAAAAGGACCCAAAACCCACTGCAGCGAACACCCTAACACCCTAAACCCGAAGCCCTGAACCCCAAACCCTAAACCCTAAACCCTAACCCCTAAACCCTAAGTTCCCTAAGTCAACTACGGGTCCTGAGCCCCCCAAGCGAACTGAAAGCTCACGGGCGCGGCGACAGCCGCGCCGCGACCAGGCTCTCGGGCTCAAGTCGGAGGAGCTCCTCTTACTGGTTTAGGGTTTAGGGTTTAGGGTTTAGGGTTTAGGGTTTAGGGTTTAGGGTTTCGGGTTTAGGGTTTAGGGTTTAGGGTTCAGAGTTTAGGCTTTAGGGTTATGGTTTCGGGTTCCTGCGCGGTTGAAGGTCAGCCGCTGAGGTTCGAAGTTCGAGGGGCTGGGACTTCGTCTTCTCAGTTTCTCTACCCAAAAAAAACCTCGAACCTCAAGCCCTGAAGCTACTAATTCAATCTAAGGCTCTAAGGTTTTGGGGCTCAGAGTGTGCAGTGGCTGCGCAGGCGCCGCTGCTTAGAGTTTTGGCAGTATGGACGAAGAGAAGCCGAGTAAGGAAGAGCGAAACCACAAAGGAGAAACTTAAAGAAAGCTACAAGTAGGCTGGGTTTGGACTGTCGGAGGGCCCCGTGGGTCCACAGGGAATCAAGCCCAACACATCCGCAGCAAAGTCTCATTTTAGGGTTTAGAGTGTGGAGTGTAGGGTTTGCAGGCTTCACGGCTGACGGTGTGGAGAGATTTGGGAGTCGAGTTGCGGGTTTCGAAAGGGGCGTTCTCTTCTGCTCGTAGTTGGATCCTGTGCCAGGCCCTTCAGCTGCCCGTTGAGCTGCTGGCAGCGCGCCCGCTGACGTCGAAGCGCTGAAACCGCCTCTGGACACACGAGAAGGACTTTGAGAGGAGCGTGCAAACCTAGGGTTTGGGTGGGGAGTGTGTTGGTTTACGGAATATACCTTCATTTCTCATCGTGCTTGAAGACTTTGACGGCTCGGGCCTTCGGACACTTTCGAAGGTGTGCTTTGAGGGTTGATGGGGCTTGGCACAGGGGATTTAGCAAAAAAAAGCGCAGAAGCCAACTCAAGAGGACCGTCTTTGGGGCCAGGATAAGGGTGTTTGGTTCTACCCCCAAACCGGTTTTGGGAGTTGGGCTGTATCCAGGGATTGAGGCCCAAGTGCTTTACATGAAGGGAGATTATGAATGGTGTAAACCCTCTGGTGGTGGGTGGTGCTGAAGGTTCAGGGTTTTGGGTTTAGGGTTTAGGGTTTTCCCGGTTTGGGGCTGATCCCAATTAAGTTTGAAGGAGAAATACCAAAGTAAGGGATGTTGGAGTCTCGGTTAAGGCTCTGAGCCCGCAACCCTAAACCTCACAAACTCCAAACCCTGCAAACAACAAGCCCACAGCCCTGCACCCTCGAAAACCCCAAACCCCAAACCCCAAACCCTAAACGCCTAAACCTCACACCCTAAATCCGAAGACCCCAAACTCTGAGCCCACAAACCCTAAACCCTGCAAAGCACCACAACTGGCCACCTTTGTCTCTGTCTGGGGTGCGGCATCCGGATAGCCGGGCTCGGACACCCTGGCAGTCACTGTTGCAGGAACTGCGGATTTAGGCAAAGCACCCCTGAACCAAACGCTCTAAACCCTGAACTGCTCCTGAAAAACCCTACAAGAGGCCCCCACGGAAGCCCATAACCTAACACCCCAAACCTGAACCCAAAAAACGAAGTGCGGCGTCTCCGAATGCTTTCCCGCACCGAAAGACCCCTAAAAACTTCAGTCGACTGAGGAGCAGGTCGACAACTTGCAAACACATCGCGACGCGCGAGAAGGGCTTTCGGGGAACCAGGGCTTAGGACCGCCTTAGAGTTTAGGGTTTAGGGTTTAGGGTTTAGGGTTTAGGGTTTAGGGTTGAGGGTTGAGGGTTTGAAGGTGTAGCAGTGTAGAAGGTTCAGGCTTTCAAGGGTTTTCAGGCATAGGGCTTCGAGGGCTTCACTTCCCCGAGCCCTGGGCTCCGAACCCTAAACCCTAACCCTAGACCCTAAACCCTAAACCCTAAATCCTAAATCCTAAACCCTCTCTGAGGCGCCTGAGCTGCGACATGAAGGCCTCGATGACCTCGCCTTCCAGTGCCTCCTCCTCACAGGGACCGAGCCTTCGGGGTGTGAGTCGTTTAGGGTTTAGGGTTTAGGGTTTAGGTTTAGGGTTTAGGGTTTAGGGTTTAGGGTTTAGGGTTTAGGGTTTAGGGTTTAGGGTTTAGGGTTTAGGGTTTAGGGTTTAGGGTTTAGGGTTGAGGGTTTAGGGTTTAGGGTTTAGGGTTTAGGGTTTAGGGTTTAGGGTTTAGGGTTTAGGGTTTACGAGTACGGGTAAGTAACATAGACTTGGCAGGGAATGGACAAGGCTAGGGATATTGGCTTTGGTTTTGGGATCGTCTGTTGGATCGTGGTGTTGAGTTGGTATATATAAGACCTAGAAGGCTGTAGGCACTCTTGCCGAACCTGCAACCAAACGGGTACGACACTAGGCGGGGAGGGAACCTCAATAGAGCAGCTCATTCCTTCGCCCTACGCATGGATGCTCTGCTACCCCTGGTACAAAAGCTGGGGTCCTTGTAGCAAGGACTCTAGCGTGGCCGTACAGTAGGGGGATTTCTTCTAAGAACCTTGGGTTTAGGGTTTAGGGTTTAGGGTTTAGGGTTTAGGGTTTAGGGTTTAGGGTTTAGGGTTTAGGGTTTAGGGTTTAGGGTTTAGGGCTTAGGGTTTAGGGCTTAGGGTTTAGGGTTTATCAGCTGCTCTCGAAGCCATGCACCTTAAAGCCCGAGCCTCGAAGGCATGGAGCCCCAAAGCCCGCAAGCCCTCTGCAAGAAATAGGGGAAGCTTCGGGCTCAGCGTTTCGGATTTACGATTTAGGGTGGCCCTGAGCCCTAAAGCCTAAACCCCCCCCTAAACCCACTACACCCACTAAACCCTACACCCCCCCCTAAACCCACTGAACCCTAAACCCGGAACCCCAAACCCTAGAAGCTGCGACCTAGTCTGGGGTTTGGGACTCCTCCGCCGTCGCCACGGAGCGCGCCGTCCCGCCGCCCTCGGAGTCCGGCGCACAAGTGCTGGCGTCGCAGAGGCCGTCCTTCCAGAGTTGGGCGTAGGGTGTCGGTATAGGGTATAGGGTCTTGGCCCAAGACCCTATGGTTTAGGGTTTAGGGTTGAGGGTTTAGGGTTTAGGGTTTAGGGTTTAGGGTTTGGGGTTTAGGGTTTAGGGTTTCGGGTTTAGGGTTTAGGGTTTAGGGTTTAGGGTTTAGGGTTTAGGGTTTAGGGTTTAGGGATTAGGGTTTAGGGCTGGCTCCGGGTTTGGGGTTGTAAGGTTTGGGATTCGGCAGGTTAAGCGAGAGTTTAGGGGGTTTAGTGGCTTGGGTAGGAGTCTGGAGGGGGTTCGAGGTTTTGGAGAAAAGACAACACTAAACCCCGCACACGTCTTTCTCCCAAAGCCCTCGCGGTTGCCCCAACCAAGCGCCGCAATCGCAAAAAAACCGACCCAAAAAACCCTAGACCCTCACCCCGATTCCTGGACCCTCAACCCTCATCCCTCAAGCCCAAACACCAAGCCGCCTGAACCCTGCACCCTACCCTGAACCCTGAGGCCTAAACCCCAAACCCTAAACCCTAAACCCCAACCCCTAAACCCCAAACCCCAAACCCTAAACCCTAAACCCCTAACCCTAAACCCCAAACCCCAAACCCCAAACACTAAACGCCAAACCCTGTTGGCCAGCAGCCCTCCTTGACGCAGGGAAGCGCCGCCTCAGCCATGGCCAGAGGCGGCGGTCTTGCTGGGGTGCGCCTGCTTCAGGTCTCAGAGAACCTATTGGTTAGGCTTTGAGGTTTGGGTAAAGGGTCGAGGGTGTAAGGTCTGAAGATTAAGGTTCGGGGTTGGGGGTGGTGCGCCTCTTTGTGCTCCGACACCCAGAAGCCCTGAACCCTGAACCCTAAATGATGAGCCCTAGCTCTATACCTCGGCCCTGCACCACGAAACATCTACAAGCCCTACTTCAAGGCTCGGAGAACTTAACAGGTTGCACTTCAGGCTCTAGGGTTTTTAGGGCTTAGGGTTCAAAATGGGTGTAGGTTGGAAGTGTAGAACTTAGGGCCTTTTTAGGGCTTATGGTGCCTATGTTGGGTCATCCTGTGCCTAAACCCAAAAAAAAGCTTAACCCCAAAACCCGAGAAAAAAAAAAAAAAAAAAAAAAAAAAACAGCCCCAACCAAAAAAAAAAAACAAGAACCTTTTCCTGAATCCTGGCCTCGGGCTCCGTGTCGACTCTTGGCGGTGCTGAGCAGCCAAGTCCTCAAGTTAGGCTTGGGGGGAGGAGGGGGGGTGTAGGGCTTCAAGGTTTCAGGGCTTAAACCCCAAACCCTAAACCCTGAGGTTAGGGTTTTAGGTTTTCAGGGCTTCGGATTTCAGGGTGTTGAGGCTTCAGGATTTCAGGGTTTCAGGGTTTCAGGGTTTTGCTTTTCGGGCTTCTGCAGCAGCAGGTCCCAATTCCTACGCCTCATAGGGCTTTCGCCACGGGAGGTTTAGGAATCTAGGCCCCAGGGTCGAGGGTTTGGGGCTCAGGATTGAGGCTGGGGAGTTGGAATGTTGGTCTAGGGGCATGAGACATCCTTCCCTACGCGAAAGCCTAACACCTAACCCTCGAAACCCTAAATCCGAAATCTAAACCCTAAACCCCTGAGCCCGTAACCCAACCCCTCAGCCCAAAACACTAAACCCTAGACCCTAAAGCCCAAACCCTAACCCTGGTAAGAGTGTTTTTTTTTTACCCTAACCCTAAACCCTAAACCCGAAAGCCCCTCGGTTTGTCTGCGCCTCGCAGAGCTGGGTCTTCGCCTCCAGGGCCCTTTCCAGCGCCGCAGCCCTATGGGCCTCGATTTTCAATGCCGCCCGAGCCTGGGGTGGGGAGGGGGGGATAAACCCTAAACTACCCAACTAACCCTACCCTACTAACCCTAGCTACTAACCCTAAACTACCCTACTAACCCTAAACCCTAAACCCGTCAGGGAAGTGAGGAAGTTGCTATTGGCAATTTAGGGGCATTAGGGCTTAGGATTTGGGGTGCGAGGGTGTAGGGTGGACCTCCACCTCAGAGTTATGGCGTCTTGTTCTTAGGACAGAGACATGAACTGGCATCAAAAGCTACGAAGGACTTTTTTTTTGGTCTTAGGACAAGCCTTGGGCTCAAGCTATTCATCGCACTCTAGTCAATGGCCCTGGCCACTCATACCCCAAACTTCAAGCCCCAAACCCTAAAGAACCCAGAAGCCCTGCCCTAAACCCTAAACCCCAAACCCGAAACCCTGAACCCCAAACCCCCACGCCCCAAACTCTCAAGAACCCTGAAACCCTAACCATCCGCTGACTTCCCACCAGACCTCCTCGAGCTCCTCCTGCTGTCTGCGCAAAGCCACTTGCAGCCCCTGCTTGGACAGTTGAGGGTTTGGGCAGGTTTGCGGTTTTACGGTTTAGGGTTTAAAGTTTAGGGGTAGGGCTTAGGGTTTAAGGGTTTAAGGGCATAGGGTGTTTTTTGGGTTTGGTGCTTCGGGCTGTAGGGTTTGGAGATTGGACGCAAGGCTTTCCAGGGCAGAATGCCAATACGAACCCTGACTTTAGCTTGCCAGTCCTTAGACCCTAAACACTGAACCCGAAAACCCCAAACCCTAAACCCTAAATCCTAAACCCTATCGGACCCTATCTAAACCCTAAACCCTAAACCCTAAACTCCATCCCCCGATAGCCCCGGTTGAAGTCCTCGAGCTGCCGCGGCTCCACGTCGGCCCCGTGCGCTTGCGCCGGCGGGGGCCCGGATTCCAGCAAGACCTTCCTTGGCTTGGGCTGTTCAGGGTTGGGATGTTACCCCTTACACTAAGGGTTTAGGGTTTAGGGTTTAGGGCTTAGGGTTTAGGGTTTAGGGTTTAGGGTTTAGGGTTTAGGGTTTAGAGTTTAGGGTTTTGGGTTGAGGGTTTAGGGTTTAGGGTTTAGGGTTTAGGGGGGCTTGGTGCTGGGGATGTTCCCCCTTATTTTTCTCACAGTCCTTATAGTAGGGATTATAAGAGGGGTACTATCATCCCGATGAAGGGGTATTAGTGTAAGGGGCAACATCCCAAGTTTAGGGTTCAGGGCTTGAGGGCTCTTGCGCCATGTGTTGAAAGGGTTGAGGGCTTTAGGCTTTGGGGCTTTAGGGCTGCAGGTCCGGCGTTCAGCCCTGATAGGTTTTTGGACTCACGGGGTTTAGCATGATTAACCGAACCACTCAAAAAGCAAAAGAAATGCATCCAAATGAGGCGCGGATAAAGCCGATTTATGGGCTCAACCCTGAGGCTATTTTGCTGAGGGTTTAGGGGCTAGGGTGTAGGGCTCAAGGCCATGGGCCACCATCTCATAGAACGTGCTGAGGTTGCGGGACGTAACCCAAATCAATTCAATGTTGGAAGCCAAGACTTTGGCTATGCCAAGACGATTAAGAGACGCTGAGGCACTCCTGACAGCTGTACTGTTAAATTCCGAGAGTATGCCTTGCTCATAGTTTTGGGGGTCCCAAAAGCTGTCCATAGTTCACTTCTCCTTGAAACCAAAAGCAACAACAACAAGCCCGATTCCTAACGGGACAACAACTTCCGATGGACCCCGACATCTCGGTTCGCTCTGGCAAAGCGTCTGCAGGAAGCGGATGTGCGCCTGGCAGGGCTTTGCAGCGAGGCGGTGCTTAAAGCAACCCGACACCAAAACCACAGAGGTCGGGACAGTCCGAATGTCGCGGGGGGGGGGGCAAACAGGGAATAGGGTTTGGCATAGCCTGCACACGAACGAAGAGCTCATGATGTGGGTTCGGGTCTCGGAGACCCGAGGCTTCAGGGACTTTGGCACCTTTGGGTTTGGGGTTTGGGGTTTAGGGTTTAGGGTTTAGGGTTTAGGGTTTGGGGTTTAGGGTTTAGGGTTTAGGGTTTAGGGTTTAGGGTTTGGGGGGTTTAGGGGGGTTTGGGGTTCCCAGTGGACGGATTCAGGACTTGGGGCTCAAGAGTCTTCGCATGGCTTCGCGCTGCACCAATTTCAGGACTCCAAGCCCTCATTGGACTCATGGCCGACTGGAGTCCTAAGATTCAATCTCTATTTGCCGAAACCGCCGAAACCCTACACTTTCTAACCCTAAACCTTAAACCTTAAACCCCTAAACCCCTAAACCCCTAAACCCCTAAACCCCTAAACCCCTAAATCCTAAACCCTCCGACCCAGCTCCTGCCTGCAAGCCCCGGATCAGGCAGTCTTTGGCCACGTCCGATGCAGCAGCCAACTCGCTTCCAGCCATGTTCTCCCAACGATTTCTCGGATTCAAGTTTGGATTTGGGGTTTTTCTCGGATTTTACTTGGGATTTGGGGGCAAGGCTTGGGGTTCTAGACCCGAAATTACTAAGCCCTTGTGCTTGAGCTGCCCTTGTGCCCTAAGAAACATGGGCTCGATCCTCTGTCCGGGCTAAATTTGAAAATGGGGCCCCCTGTAATCCTTCGAACACGGACGTGATGTTCTCGGCCAAGTTCCATCCCCAACAAATACCTTCAACCAAGCTCTTGGTGCCCATGGTTTAGGGGTTAATTAGGGTTTAGGGTTTAATTAGGGTGTAGGGTTTAGGGTTTGGAGTTTAGGGTTTAGGGTTTAGAGCTTAGCGTTTAGGGCCCCGCCCAAGAAACCTTATCGCACACCGTCCGGCGGACTCCCGTGTGCCCCTTGTTGAGCCGCAGGCACAGGCACAGGTGCACCCTAATCCCTACAACCCCAAACCCTAACCCCAAAACCCTAAACCCGAAAACCCGAAAACCCTCAACCCCATGTCCGGGTAGGCCTCCCCAAAAGCCTTAAGCTGAACCTGTCTCACCCCCAGCTGATGGGGGCTTCTGAAGCTTTTGTGGGGTGGAGGGGGACGGGGGGGGGGAGGGAGGGGGCTTACGAAATTCTCACAGCACAACACGGGGGCTCAGCGCGTGGGCCTGCAAGCCACTGCAGAGCAGCCGAGCCCAAGACGATCTGCCGAAGCCTTTGTCCAGCAGAAGGCCTGGCGGCGCGCCATCTTTGGGTCTTCAACCCCTTTGGGGCTTTGGAGGTTTTGGGTAGGGTTTAGGTTTTAGGGGTTTAGGGTTTTAGGGTTTTAGGCAGGGTTTAGTTTTCAGGGTTTTAGGGTTTTAGGGATTTAGGGTTTTGGGTAGGGTTTAGGTATTAGGGTTTTAGGGTTTAGGGTTTTAGGGTTTTAGGGTTTTAGGGTTTTAGGGTTTTAGGGTTTTAGCGTTTTAGGGGTTTAGGGTTTTAGGGTTTTAGGGTTTTAGGGTTTTAGGGTTTTAGGGTTTTAGGGTTTCAGGTAGGGGTTCAAGGTTTTAGGGTTTTAGGGTTTTAGGGTTTTAGGGTTTTAGGGTTTTAGGTAGGGTTTAGGTTTTAGGGTTTTAGGGTTTTAGGGTTTTAGGGTTTTGGGGTTTTGGGGTTTTGGGGTTTTAGGGTTTTAGGGTTTCAGGGTTTTAGGGTTTTAGGGTTTTAGGGTCTTAGGGTTTCAGTGTTTTGGGGTCTTAGGGGTTAGGGTTAAGGGGTCTGTGGGCCAGATGGCTTGCCTCAATGTTCGAGTGTGGTCGTGAGATTCTTCCCTGCCTCCAGGGATCAGTACCGTTTGGGGCTTTGGCCTTCGGCTACCCAGACATGGTCCATATTTGCGTGCTTGAGGTAACCAACATCCGAAGGGAAGCTGCGACGAGTACAAAACTCTGAGTCCCAAAACCCTAAACCCTAAACCCTAAACCCTGCTAAACCCTCAGCCGCTGTTCTGCAAATGTCGCTGCTGTAGGTTTAAGGGAAGGACATCGTTATCCCAAAATTGCTAAACCCTAAACCCTAAACCCTAAACCCTAAATCCTAAACCCTAAACCCTAATTGTCAAACACGGAAAGAGAAGCGCGACCAGCCCGCGACAGCACCAGCGGCTGCGCTGCCCCGGAGCCCGGCTCCCGAAATTGTTTGGCCTCGGCGCCTGGGAGCACAGGAGCCCCGAAAACCCTAAACCCGAAACCCTAAACCCTAAACCCTAAACCCTGGCTTGGGATTACAAAGAAAATCTCCCTACAACTACGAAACAAAGGTGTTTTCCCTTTGTTTAAGAGTCGAGTCTCTGGGACCTGGGATTTGTGGGTTCTTAAGGGGCTTTGGGCTTAGACTTTGTGTGTAGGGGCTTTCCGATGTCTTTTGGGTTTAGGACCTTTAGGCCTCGAGTGAATCTTAAGAGCCTGGTTTCGGGGATCAGGTTTTCCTCAAGTTTGGTAAGGGGCTCACTTCGGGGCCTTTGGGGGTTTAAGGGCTGCACAACATCTCTAAACCCTTAACCCCCTAAGCCCTGAACATCCCTAAACCCCAAAACCCCAAACCCCAAACCCATCCTCCTAAGCCCTAAACCCTCAATCCCAAACCCCCCAACCTAACCCCCAAACATCTGCTAGGCGCAGGCCTAAGGCATCTGGAGTAAAAGAGCTAGCCACCTGCTTCATCCCTGTCCCCGGCAGTGCCGGTCCAAAGTGTTAAATCCCAAACCCTAAACCGAGAACCTCCCTCTTTTTTCCCTCGCCTCCGCCCCCATTCAGGACCCCCCTTGGTTTCGGGCCAGCACCCAAGCCCGATAAATTCGAGGATTAGAAGTACTCAATCCAAAGCCTAAACCCTTAACCCTACACGTCCTTCAATCCTCAACCGATTCGTAACTCTGGGATTAAGGGTGCACATGTATTGCTTTGAGTTTCCCCAGTGTCTGGTTTAGGATGTTTAGGGTTTAGGATTTTGGGATTCGGGGTTGCCTGCGGGCGGGTTCTTGTACACGCTGATGAAGCGCTCGTTGCCCGTGCCACTGGACCTTGGGGGTTTTGAGGGCTCAGGGCTTGGGGACGTTTAGGGTTTAGGGTTCAGGAACTTCCTTCGAAATGCTAGAACCCTAAACCCTAAGCGCTAGACCCGAAACTAGGCTTGGGGTTCTTCTGCAACTTTAAGCCGCTCCAGCGCCCAATAATTCCCTAAACCCTAAACCCCTAAACCCCTTAAACCCCTTAACCCCTAAACCCCGAAACCCCAAACATACCCTGAGCCCCAGAGACCCCGAATCCACAGAATCAGAGACCTCCTAGAACCAAAAAACTGCATATTTACGACTGCCAATGAGGGCCCTATATAATAATAATAATAATAATAATAATAATAATAATAATAATAATAATAATAATAATAATAATAATAATATAATATATAATATAATATAATATAATATAATATAATATAATATAATATAATATAATATAATATAATATAATATAATATAATATAATATAATATAATATAATATAATATATAAATATAATCCCTTTATATAGAATATATATATATATGTATATATATATATATATATATGTATATACCCTTTAAGGGATTATATAGGGCCCTCATTCCCTCATTTCCCTACTAAGAGCCACGGGCACGAGGGCGCTGCAGCGTGTGAAGTCGGAAGGACTCGGCGATCTTGTGGATGTACTTCCGATCCTCAGAGGGCGCGGCATGTTGGAGTTGCCCTAAACCCTAAACCCTAAACCCTAAACCCTAAACCCTAAACCCTAAACGTTGTTGTAGGATTTAGGGCTCATGGTATAAGGTTTGGGTTTCAGGGTTTAAATCTCCGTACCTCAAGGGTGCAGAAGGAAACGGACAAGCCAACAGGGCATGCTCTGCTTGGGGTTCTTCATGATCTTCGATGCTTCCCCAGGATTTCATTGTTGATTCACTGTATTCTCTTCGTACTTTATTCATTCGCTTATTCACTCACTCCGCTCTCTTCACACACCATTCATAATATTAATACTGTGAAGAGAACGCATTATATTAATTTATGAGCGAATGAACAGAGTGAATGAACGCATGAAATTAATGTAAGCGTGAACGTAACACACGGACTTACAATATACTTCTTATGGCCCGTGCATACAATACTAATTCTAAAAATAAACCACTCACTCTCTTGGTGCGGTCGTTTGCTCCCTTAAATAGCCCATTCATGCGTCTTCTCTTCGTTCATCCTAATAATGTGGCCTTTCCAGGAGCTAGACGACTTGTTTTGGGCATCGCAAATTCTGAAGAAGAGGAGCACTATAAACAAGAACTGCTGCACGGAGCCTGGCCACGTTTAGGGTTTAGGGTTTAGGGTTTAGGGTTTAGGGTTTAGGGTTTAGGGTTTGGGGTTTAGAATTTAGGGTTTAGGGTTTAGGGTTTAGGGTTTAGGGTTTAGGGTTTCGGGTTTCGGGTTTAGGGTTTAGGGTTTAGGGTTTAGGGTTTAGGGTTTAGGGTTTAGGGTTTAGGGTTTGCTAGAACCCCTCCAATAATACCATTAAGCCCTCAACAACCCCAAACCCCAAACCCTAAACCCCAAACCTCGAACCCCAAACCCTAAACCCTAAACCCCTCCTCTCGCCAGTTGAGGCAGGCACCGCAGAGGTCAGGTCCTTCGGAAAGTCGATCTTGGCATCCTCGAGACGTTGAGAGCAGGTAGGGGCTCTTTTGCGGAAGGGGGAAGTCGGTAGCTACAAACCCTGAAAGCTATTCTCTCCTGATTAGAGTCTAGGCTTTAGGGTTGAGGGTTTATGGTTGAGGGTTAGGGTTGAGGGTTGAGGGTTGAGGGTTTAGGGTTGAGGGTTTAGGGTTGAGGGTTTAGGGTTGAGTTGGCATGGGGACCCGGCCAGGAGGCATGGGTGAGGAAACCCAAGGCGAGTAAAAAGAGACCGGCGAAGAATCATGACCTCCCTTCATTAAGGGTCTAGGCTTTTGGGTTTTGGGTTTGGGTTCTAAAAATTTCAAACTCCATTCATGAGGTTGTGGGGAGAAGGTTCTACGGTAGCGTGAGGAATATCTGGCGGCATGGTATACAAAGGAGCAGACTCTTAGTCGAGAAACACAGACGCAAACTCGACTCGATGTTCGTTTGCCCTACTGAACGCACATTGCAACTTACTCAGACTCCTGGTAGAAAAAGATGCGAACACCTTGGAGAGAGAAGCCCCGGAAGCCCCTCACTGTAGTCAGCTTTGGCGTTTGTCCCCGAAAACCTAAACCCCTGCATACCCGAATCATGTCCAAATAACACTCAAGTTTCCTCTGAACTTTGTCGGGCCTTCCTCTGGCGACGGGAATAGTTAGGGTTAAGCCCTGAACACCTGGGGGAACTATAATATCCCTATTCAGGACTGTTAGTGTAAGGGGGAACATCCCAACTCCTGAACCTTAAAACCCTTCCCATTCCAACGAACTGACCTCGTCCGGATTGCCTTGCAAGTCGGACCTCATACTCGAGGCTTGCTTAGGGATTGGTATCTAGGCTTGGGGTTTCGGTCTAGGGTTTAGGGTTTAGGGTCTAGGGTTTAGGGTTTAGGGTTTAAGGAGGGCGTGTTGCTTCAAGACTTCGAGACTCGGGCATCTTCGGCGAAAAACCCCCCCTAAAATACATGGGACGGGTAAAACCTCAAACCCCCTAAAGCCCCGAATGAAGCCCTAACAGCGCTTTTGAGCTCTCCGGGGGCAACATGAAATTCGCGTGCTGTTTGTAGCTACTTTCGGGGCTTTCGTAAGGTGACTTCTCTGGTAAGGTTGCCACAAAGGGGCCTGGAAACATCAGCGCAAGAGGCTATTCCAGCGTTTCGGAAGCGCATCTGAGCATCCGGCAACTGTTTGGCGACATTCTTTCGAAAGCTTTCTGTCGTCATTGCACCAGGCACATCCAGGCACGTCCAACCAGTGTAAGGTTCTGACACAAGTTGGTTGTGGGATCCCACTTTGGACATAGACACCAACCCGAACCTGAAAGAAGCCACTCTCTTGTGCAGCCTGGGGTGTTGCCAATTCCGAGCGATGTGATGGATGCGTGGGTGGCAGGTTGTGCGAAGATTCTTCTGCTATGCTGTTTGCAGGACTAGAGCTAGAATTCAACTGCATGCAATCTGACACTGACATGGGCACACTGCTGAACTTGCTTGCCCAACCCTATGCTTCGCAACGGAAACTCTTAGGAACACATGGGGCAAGTTCTCCAAATAGAAGTTGGGGTCTCCATCGCCTGTTCTCATGGTTCCCCAGTGTAGGCCGAGGCGGTCTTCCCCTGGCATGTTGCTTTTAACAAGAGGAGTCTGGAAAATAGTTCACAAAAGCTCTTCTACGATGAAATGCTAGATGGGAAAGCTGGCTTCGTACGACAGGGAAAGAGTCACCACGCCTTGCCTGTCGAACCAGCCCCGCAAGTTCAATGAGCCCACGTTCTTCAACCGAAATGTGGAGAGTTTGCTGTTGGAGCAGAGCCTCTCTACTGCATCAGCAGCCCAGTAGGCCAGCTTCGATGTCCAGGTGAAAAAGGGGGCGTCACGTCGTCAAAAGAAACGAGAGAGCGTCTCGAATTCGAGACGGCTGGAAGCCCCAAATCCAAAGGCGACGGTTGCGGTTCCCCAATAGTTGGGTGCCTCCAACTGCCCAGCTGCCGCTGATTCACCCCGAATACGACAATAAGACGACATTCCAATGCCAACTTCAAGACATTCACATCCGCACAAAACACAGGCTTTGAAACCAGAGTTGCGCGGCCTTTCAGCAGATAAATTACCTTATATGGGCTCGAAAATATAGGTGATTTAAAATCGACTTTGCGTGCACTCAATTGTGTTTTGTCGCTTGCTAACCGAATCTGTTGTGAAACGAGGGCTATATTTGTCGCAACAGAAGCCCTATCTCAGGCTTCGGCGATTTTTCAACGTGCTACAAGACATTGCCAACATCAACCTTCACAGAACACATACCAAAAACATTGGGCCACTTTACCGAGAAAGGCACATGCCATTCCATTGCAAGCTGCTTTGCAGCTTTACCAAGCTTTGGGCATTGGCATGTACATGCTCGAGCACAAGGTGAAAGGCTGATTTTTTGGGTTTGAACAGGCTGGGAGGGGGGGTGGGGGTTGGGGGGGGAGGTGGGGAGTGTGGGGGGGGTGGGGGGTTGGGGGTGGGCGGGGTTGGGGTAGGGCTGAAGTGCCCTCTGGTCCTGATGATTCTTCAAGATGCAAGGAGCTGTTCCCCCCAATGCGTAGTGCTGCCTTCTCTGCTCCGGGGCACCCTCTTGTCACTCAAAAATGCCCGCAGTTTTGGCAACCAGTCATTCCTGGTCATATGTTTACTTCTACAGTGTTCTGAATCCCAAAGCTTGGCTGGTGTTTGAGTACGCGCGGCCCGGGTACGCTCGGTCCCGCAAACAGGATGCCCGTTGAACACGCTGGGATCCCCAAAAAAGCAGGATGCTAGCTGAAAACGCTCAGTCGTTTCGCGCAGACGAGGACCACCAATACGCCTCTCGCTGAAACCTTCAAACCTCGCACGGTGGGTCTTCAAGTTTGATAGTAAGAGAACGCACAGTAAAAAAAAAGCTTCAAAAGGGGGTTGGTTACAACCACGTCCTTCACTGCAACAATTTCTTCTACACTACCACTACTACCACTGCTACCAATATTATCAACAGTCCTTGGAAAGAGTTCTTGCTGGAATGGGCTGCAAGAAAATGCTGTTGCAGGGAAACTGCATTTTTCTACGCGCAATTGCAAAAACTGAAGGGTTCTCAGAGGTTGCTGGTTTTCAAAGAGCGGACGGTTTTGCAACTGGATTTTGCAACTGATTTGAAACTGATCTGAAACTAGTTTGAAATTGTGGAAGAGAAGTTGAAAGTTGAAAAATGCCATATTCCGGAATTTCTGCCCCATCCTGGCCCTTGACATACGCCTCTGCATACAATGGCCAACTTGCATGACACACGAAGCTCCGACGCAGACTTTCACTTCATTGCAGACTTTTGTGTTTTCCAAATGCCCGGAAACCAATTCGTGCACGCTTCCTCGATGTTCTCCATGGTCGGCTTGGGTCTTTGGTTGCCAAAAGTAACAATACCCGGGCGTTAAAACACCCCAAACGTGATCGATTCACTTTGTCTTCGGGCGTGATTAGAGACCATGAACTTCCGAAAGCTTACCAGTCTCCAGACCAGAATGTTCTTTTTTGGTCCAAGGGTGTTTTGCAAGACAGCTTCTACTCCCAGCTCTCGTTCCTGGTGATTTTGCAACTAAGACTTTGAAACAATCAATCTTTAGTTTGAAACAAATCATCCTGGCCTCCCTTCCCAGCGCCAGAATTTGCAAGTTTCAATTTTGTTTTTGTGGTTTCAAAAAAGGTTTAAGAAAGTTTCAAAAACCCTCAACCCCCTCATCCCCAAACCTGAGCCCTGAACCCTCAACCCTCAACTCCAAACTCTGGAACGCAGAAAAGTTTTTGACAAGCAGACATGCTGCAACGCTTTCAGTACAGATCGGTGAATCCATGTCGATGCATGCTCGTGGATTCACGCAGCTCAACATAAAGAAACTGCAGACGATATCACACACGCAAAAGAACAATTTAAATAAGAAGCTTTTGGGTTTCTTAAGCCAAAGATGCAGTCCAAGCACTGAAAACGGACTTGCAAAGACACAAAAGCGCTTGTCAGCTTCTCGTTCAGGCATTGCATCTTTGCTGCGGCATGGTTGCAAGCAAGTCCATGTGGTCCCGTTATCAGAGTCTCCGCGCTCGAATCTCAATGTTGCACGCTCATAATGTTAAGATTCAGGTTTGAAAGGAATGACCTGCAAGATTTCGTCCGTCAACAGTTTGGAGACTGGCAAGTTTCGGAGGAGAACTGCAATTTCTGTCCGCGTGGTGTGAAAACTAGGACCTCTGGCATTCCTGCATTTTGTGCCTTAAGTCTCCAAGTGGACCGGACACGGTAAACTCACCATGCTTCCTATCTTCAATTTACACTGCTCGTCGCTGTCAACGCTGGTCGATGGCGCGGAAGAAGCTTTGGAAAGACACTGTTAAGGGGCTCAGGCGCCGAGCAAGGTTCGGGGGGGGGGGGTTCGAACCTGGGTTCAACCCAGGTTCGAACTCCCGGCCCTCCCGGGGGGGGGGGGGGGGGGGGGTGGGAACAACAACATCGAGAACCTGGGTTTAATTTTTTTTTCCGAGTTGAGCGAACAAATGCGATCCACCTTCTTGGTGTTTGGGTTGTGAAAACCGTGCCTCTGTACTGGCACTCCTGATGGCCCTCTTGGCCCTAAAGTACAGGGGAGGAAACCACCTCCTCCTAAGCTACCATCCTCTTTGGGATGTACCTCATGAGAGGAATGAACCTCCTGGCAAAAGCTCCTCAGGTTTCTGGTGCAGGGGGTGCAAACCGTGAGAGGAGGGGCCAGGGGTGTTCTCTGGCAGCGAGGATGAACCTCAGCTTTTCATCCTCTTCGGGATGCTACCAGAGGCTGGTACCTCATGAGAGGTTAGGAACCTCCTGACAAAAGGTCCCTCAAGGCCTTTGGTGCACTTAGTGCAGGCTGTCAGAGGGAGACGGTCAGGGTTCCGCTCTGGTAGCGAGGATGATACCTCTTTGCTATCCTCGCTGGGAGGATGCAACCTCCTAGGCTGCATCAGCTGGTGGTTCCCTGAGTGGCACCAACTCCCAGCGAGGCTCTTCCATGATGTTGCCGAGGGGTCGCGCTAGCCCATAGTCTGGCGACGGCAATTCATAAAGGACTTTCATGTCGATGAGAGCCTCGACAAACACCATGTCCATGTTTTTTCACTCCCACAGCAACAAGCTTGCCAGCAAGGGGATGCTGGCATGGTGGAGGCTGACCCACCTCCTGACTTTGCTGCTCAAGGTGGGTGCGTCTTGGTCAAACCACCGGAAGAAAGAGACGAGCCGGGTTAGGCTGGGGAAACCGTAGTGCTCTCTGGTGCCCCAGTTGGCCACGTCCAAACTTGTTAACCGGTGGTACTTGGCCATTCCCAGGTACCCCCAATTATGCTCCCCTTGGTCGCGGGGATGGAGGTTCCCCTCCGGAAGGCGAAGTCCACACCAGAAGCACATCATAATGCACATCTTGAGGAATGAACCGTCCGGCGTTGGGCGGATGGGGGCCACCATCCGCTCAACGGCAAAGGCCCGCAGGTCCTGGGCTGGGAGCCCAGGAACCTCGACCTGGAGGGTGAACCTCCGGCAGACCTGGGGCCAGGAATCGAGAGCCAGCGCAAAAAGCTCCCACTCAAAGTGGTGGGCATCTTGGAGGCCTACCTTCAGGACCCAGCGGGGTTCCCGGTCAAGGGTACACTACCCTCGAGCCACCTCGAGCAAGAATGGTCAGGTACCTGACCTCGCCTTGGACCTCATAGGAGGCCCGGTCAGGCAGCTGATTGGCGAGGCCATTGCCTCGACCGCGGCTGCTTGCTCGGAGGATAAGGTTACCTCCCTCAGTTGCTGGCTTGGTCCTGGTCCTGCTCTTCCACGGGGGCAGGCTCTGCACTGGCTTCGGAGGTATCCTCTCCTGAGCTCTGGGCCCCCCACCAGCTGGAGGACCACCCTCCGGACCAATGCTCATCCCCGCATTGCTGCCATCCTTCCCATTCTTCGTGCCCCCAGCCAGGGTTGGCAGCACGATTGGCTGGCGGTGGCCTGGGCGGGACCCTTTGGGCTGCCTCGGAAACAGCCTGTTGCCTCTGAGCCCGGCTTTCTTGCCCGGCCTGTTCCTTTGCCTCTGCAAGGTGTAGTCATCTACGTACCTCTGCGCCGGGGTCCTGCGTTCCAGCAGGAACTCTTTCGACTCTCCCAAGCCTTAGCCTCCGGAGGGTGCCCCTCCCCTGCCGGTGCT